GAACCAATCGCGGATGTAGCCGACTATAGTAAAGTCAACGGTATTAGATCCGCTGAAGAAGATTGTGTAGCAAGGTATCCCTGCCCACATTCCGCAGAAATTAGTTGACTGCTATATGCAAGGATGCATAGACGTTGAGTTAGCTTACATGCAAGGCATATAGTGTGGCTGTATATTAAATGACCTATCTGTCTTCTTTGCGTTGGGTCGTGATGATCTTACAAATGACTATATAAGCGCCATTGTGTTCTTGTGCTTTTATAGGTCGACTCGAAATGCAGATGATGCATCCATCGCAAAAGTTCCTTTACCGATAACTCCAGCTTATATACCACATTAGATGCCGTTAGTCGGTCTCAACCTATATGTAAAACCCGCACATTATTTATAGTTATTACTTCCCCGGATTATATTTTAGGATCCTCGTTCTGCTTAAATACCATGGCAAACTCTGTCCCTAGCTATAGAGACGTGTTATCTCTTCTAGGCTATGGTAACCTAAACCGTGCCTATACAATGCTCTTTACTTACGATGTGGCGGCATTTGCACGGGCTCTTAGGACGACAAGCGGCCGAAATGGCAGCGACGCACCTCCTTTGCAAACTCATTATCACGCTTATCGCCAGCTCGCGGCTATATTCCTGGAAGAACACGGGCGAGGCTTGGTATACTGGTCTGGGAATTAAGCCTCGCTAAGCTTACTTACATACCCAAACGACAAGAATGAGTAAGGACTTAACATTCCCTCTAAAGACACTAAACTAAAGTGATATAGAATATTCTCCTTGATGGTGTGTCTATTCTATAGATGCACGTAGAAGATTTTTGGGTGGAGATGCATTCTCGGAGCTGCCCTAGACACATGGCAGGTTGAGCAATCCAGTCCTCGACCTTCGGCGATTCATCTAGACCTTAACGCCGTTATACCGCGCGATGAGATCCAAGCTATTCTTCGAGAGCCACACAAAGCTGGAACCTTACTATTTACGTACAGTGTGGGAGAAATACACGGACTAACTACGAGATATTCCACGTGGTCTCCGCGACCGGGAATCCGGATGAGATCGCTAGCTGACCTTCTAAGGGAGATTCTAGGCGGTGATGGTGCTTCAGGCTTAAAGCTTGTATTTAGTGGACCAGGTTTCTCCATTGGAGGGCTGGTGTTTGACGAAAGCGACTTTGCAAGGATGCGATTTGAGTTTAACGACTAAATCGATCGGATCCTAGTAGGAAGAAATCGTCAGACGCTCTCTATAAGCTAAAACGTCCACGTTTAGATATTTCTTTTTAAGCAAGACCGATTGCTAAACAATTGGATATTCTTATAGTAGCTGCAGTGGTCGTAGTTGCTGCATAAGTCGGTCTAAACTGCAGTTCGCAGTTAAATACACTAATAAGCCGTTCTTCGTCCTTTTATGCTCCTTGGCTAGTGAAAACTAGATATGAACTTCCGATCTATCTCTCCGGTAGTGCGAGGGTGCCAATGGTATATCTCTTAGGGATGACAGCTCATTGAAGGCCGCGTACGTTGCAGCGAAATATATCGCATGTTTAGTATACTTACTGCGCCTGCCAGGAGCTCTTCATGTCACTAAAGACCATAGGCAGCGTTAAGGGGCAGTCTAATGCAGCTACGTAACCGGCACCTTCTAATCCCGAGAGATAGACCTCATTACGGGTTCTACTTAGCTCGTCGACGGGGCGTTTAGGCTAATAAAAGACGCAGAGATCTATATACAGTAGGAATGCATAAGGACTGACTTATTGTAGAATTTTGACAGGTGCAGTGGTAAGGCAGATTCATATGCGAGGTATGAAGTTCACACTAATGCGACCGCTTGAGTACGTGCTTGCGCAGAGGACCTACATATGACTCGCTTACACTATCTCCTTTAGGGAACGCTTCATGTAAGTTGGGTCTTCCCGTGACGATCATAGAATGCGGACATCACGCCACCATTCAGCCTTATGCTCCACCTTCCGGCGAGCACCTACATAAAGCTAGACCAGTCATCTTACCTATTCTTTCGGACTGGCGAAGGTTCCAATAGGGTAGCTAGTAGGGATCAAAGACTAAGATGACGCCGTCTGGTATCTATCGTTATAAAAGTACACGGAGCTCCCCTGGCTGCAAAGAGACATCATACCCTCGCCTAGTTACGCAGTATATATTTTTATCTAAGGTTGCTACCGCAACTACGTTGGTAGAGCCTTCGCCTACCCGAGGAGAGTAGCCTGCATTCCAGCCCGAGAGATGGCCTACCCATGCAAACAATGGTACTATATAACTAGGGTGGATCATACGGTCTAAGACGCCGACATTCGTTCGATACGCGCGCTCATTGCATTTTTATCGCAAAGATGCCGCCCATCCGGCCGGGGGCGGTAACCAGTTTAAGCCCGAGCCCCTACCCCCATGCCGAAAGAACCCCCGAATTTATGGGCCCCATGCACCCTAAAGGTCCGGAATACGTGGGGACCGCCGGGCCGTAGGACCAGCGAGTTCAATCTCCGCCTTCCGAACTCCTCCCCGTGACTAGGATCTGCCAATGTTGCCCCCATTTGAAAACGGCGCGGACAACCTCCGATAGTGTTAGGATGCCGGCGATTAGGCAACCACGATGCAATCATGCTGTCTGTGCTTCTGTATGTTTGACTTGCGTTATTGGCGATGAATTAGTCGCGACCAACAACCTCCGCTTCTCGTAGCATTGCGTCCTGCAGTGGCCGAAGTCATTAGAGGCTGCTAGGCATTATTTCGGTATGGGTGCTGCGTTATAAGCTGATGTGAGGTGGGTAATAATCTTCGCTATGGACCCAGCCACCTCCAGCGTGCACGTCACCAGTCTCTCGCAGCCGTTTCGTTTGGTGCCCTTAGATCCTAGGATTGCCGCTTCTATCGCTTTCACGTCAAGAACAAATATGCCTTTATCTTACGCGGCGGAAAAGGACGCTTGTCTTCCTCTTGAAACTTACGGCGTACGTGGAAGCCCTATTCGGTGCTCAAGCTATAGCCATCTAGCCGAATTCCTCGGTCTCCTAAGAAACAGCCCAGCCTTTTTACAGCGGCCAAGGGAGAGCTTAATATGACCGCTTTAAACGGGACTTTTGCAGTTAGCATCCCTCTTTCTCCATGAGCTTCTGTCTGACCTCTTAGCACACTATTTTGGACTTGCCGACAAAACCTGCCAGAAATTAGGGCCCATCTACAGTCTCTCGGCTTAAGCAATAAGATCACAGCTAGGCCTTTTTGGGGGCCTCAAGACAAGTGCAAGAACCGTGGTCGATATTGGTTCCGACACGGTGCTAGTCCTTCCTCTCCTACTGCGGCGATCATAAAACATTAGCGCCTTAAAAGGCAAGAATTTTGAATACGTAAGTACTATCAACTTCTGTATCTCCTTTGTCGTTATTGATGTCTACGTTATCTACTAGAACGGGCCCGCGTTACGTGAACGACGCCCTTTGCCTAGCGGCTAGCCCTTCTAAGGGAGCGCCTTATACGATCCTGAGCACCGAAGTGTGTTTACTTGATGCCTCTCTACTCTTTACCATGCATTGTGCAATAGATTAGGAATAATTATACGTTTTTCCTTTTTTGTTAAGTTGACACTATTGCTTCTCTAAGCCTTAAAACACCAAAAATCACTACCGTGAGACCTATAGCTTGCCTCAAGCTGCTCTCTCTCTCTCTTAACACCCATAACTGGTATATGCTTAGCTCTTTCTAGTCTTGCTAGGCTGCCAGCCATGGCGAGCCGGCAACATAAGCCCCTAATAACGTCAGCCTTGCGTGTCACTTGCACGCCTGACAGCTAACAGTGCTGCCTCTTGCATATGTGATCCTCTGCTATTTGCAGACGAAAAATTAAACCTCTACAGGGTTCGAACCTACGGGCTTCCCTTTTTGGAAAAGGGCGAAATCTGCTATAGTGGTGGAAAGGAGAAAGGTAAGGCTATTTAATTATGCCTTATCACGACAGCCTTACCATGCCCCACCCCCCTTTCGGTAACACCCACCTTTCGGTAGCGCAATTGAAAAATTCTCCACCAAAAGTCTACCATTTGAACTACATGAAATATGATCAGAACTTAACATTATAAACACAAAAAATATATCATTCCGTAGAGAAATGGACGCTCTTATATGTACCGGCGCTTTTTACCATTCGCCCGGATCTGGTGGTGACTGGAAGGGCTTCAGGTGCCACCTTGACTTCAATCACTGAAGCTGTCTCCACCTCTGAGACCGCCTCCTCCTCTGTGTCAGAATTCAGCACAACGGCTATCTCTTGGCTTTTAATTTGGGGAATGGCTTCCTCAGCCACCAAAGCTTCACTGAGAGTCATGAACCGTCTGTTCGGGTTCGGAATTGCTCTCCTCTTCTTGCCTCTCTGCAGCCGGGCCACTTCTTCCTCTAGCTTCGCGATTCTGTTGCTGTGCTCGGCAAGCGTCTGTTCTTGGGCTTCAAAGCCTCTAGCTATCACGGCGTATCGTCTCCGGGTGCCAGGAGTCTTGTTCTTTCCGAAATCGCGAATCTGGCGGCTGTTTCTTGGCGTATCATCAGAACCCAAAATGGCGCGGACTTTGGAGACGTCTCTACAATGTCCGCGTGAATTTCTGGATGCCGCAATGCCTTGGATCGTGAGATCGGCCAATTCCCAGTGACCCTCCAGCCGGACAATATATTCTTTGCCGTCATTCCAACCTCGCGCGCTTTAGCATATGCCCGTATAAAATTGACCTTATGAACAGGCGCAGAATCGGTCAAACAGGTCAATTTCTGAAGTTCTTTCCGGTAAGCTGCCTTGGAGGCATTGAATACACCGTTATCTAACGGCTGGAGGCCATGAGAGCAGTGGGCAGGAAGGTAACAGCAATAAACGTTGTTCAAAAAGCATGTGGCCATCCATGCATCCTGGTCTCGGTTAACAGTAATTCCTACAGAGGTGGATAAAGAAACGCACCGTTGCATGACTTCCATGTCCATCTAATATGATCAGTCTAGCATCTGAGGCATCGGCTGGTCGCGTCTGGGGCAAATAGACCTCTCAAGCCACTCAATAGCGATATGGTTGTCCGTCCATCCGTTGGGCGACGTTATGTAATGCCAGTCGGCTATTTTGCCGAATTCCGTCAAGAACCACTGTTTCTGAAGCTCTTTGCCCTTAAAGATAATGCCAGGGGTAAGGACACGGCCGTCCGCGGTGATAGCTTCAATAAATGAGGTCCAGTTGCGGGACTGTGGCCCTTTCAGAAGGGCCTTCCGTTTTGGGTCTGCACTCCCAACCACAAGACTATCCAAACCTGGCAAAAGAGTCTGGTTAGTAAAAGTAATGAAAGACAAGCCAAATACTCACCAAAGCCAGACATAATACCGCCTTCGTCAACATTCACGGTATTTTCTGGTTTAATCCATCCATACTCCTTTTCCCTGATATCGAAGAACCAGTGAACCGCCCGAGGCGTAAAAGCATTAAATCGGTTAGCTTCCTGACGTCTCCCACGCTTGTTCTTGATGTCCGGATGGCGATTGATGAATTTAGAGACCCAGTTGCGCCCCACTGTCCGCTCGTTGTTCAGTTGCTTTATAAGAGCCTCCACACATGCGCGGATCTGACTGTGGGAGGAGCATAGCCGAGAGACTCTTGGCGGAGGATCCAAGAAACCAAGCGAGCTTCCTGAGACTTACTCAAGAGTTGACGAGGCTGGATCTGATCAGCCAGGGCTACCTGGCCTTTGAGTCTGTCGGAAATAGACTGCTGAGGTATGTCATACTTTTGGGCGGCGCGGTACTGCGACAAGCCGTTTTTTGTGACATCAATTATCGCATTAGCCATAATATCCTCCGTATAAATACTCCGAGGCCGCTTTAAGGTCATTTTGGTCATGTGGTGGAGGAATAACGAGAAGAATCATCGTCAGGAGGCGGAAGGAGATTAGGGGGTTGGATGGTAATTTCGCGTGCAAGGTACGCACAGGCCGCAGACCCCTGTACAAACATTCAACCATCGAAAAGTAGAATTCAATCAATCCACTATCTACTCCAAGTGACGGCTTGTGAATATCTTCAAAGCTGGCTGGAATCCGTGTAAGTGAAATTGATGGTTTTTGGTGGGGATATTTTCTAATGCGCTACCGAAAGGTGGGTGTTACCGAAAGGGGGGTGGGGCATGGTACCTGAGCTTCCTTCTTACCTCTCTGCCCTCTTCCCTTAAGCTTAGCACCAACAAAACAACAGAGCAAAACAAAAGTGTCTCACCCTTACCAGCACGGTAGCAGGGCTACCAACCCAACCCGGCCAGATTCACTAGAACCTAGTCACCAGGATTTTTAAAGAGTGCACTGATAAGGGATCACTGACCGATTTGTCCCTCCGCCGCCCTAAGCTACTTAACGAACTCCGGTGACCAACCGGGGTTCTAACACCAGTCAACAATAGCAGAGGGTCATACCATTGCGTCAAAGGTGCCGTTCACTACTGGACGATTTTAGTGATAGGTGCAATTGCAATAATCCCTTATAACATGTTTGCAACAAGACCAGCAGGCCATCAACAGCCCGATGGTCAAACCTAGCGACGAGGGCAAGGACCGGTCAACCCAACCGATCCAGGAGGGCCATCACGACTGGACGAGGAAGACAGGTTGGCCCACCTACTGGAACCAGCATACGCATTTTAAATTGCGGAAGCTTGATAAGGCTTGGTCATGTTGCGGAGAACTAAGCATTATGTCAATTCCATCCTCGATATATAGAGCGAAAGTAATGTCGAGCTGCCTTTATTGCTTGCAGGGTGGCTTATAGGGGGGGAAATAAAGTGCTATCTGCTTCGACTAGACAAGCCATTAACTTCTTAGCATTTCCTATAACACTCCTCATAGACGCGATAAATCGATGTCGATTAGGCCCCCAGTACTTAGTTTGCTCTAACCCAAGCCCTCTACCCTTAGACTGGACAGGTTCCCAGTCTGGTCTTACGATCCACGGGTCTTGCACTATTAGCCTTGTATATGTTGTGGGGTCTTGGTTTAACTTACCGAGTGCTTTAAGGCATATACTTCGGCGGCAAGCTTCGTGAGCTTTTCTTCGGCGCATCGTTGCTCATATTCCCTCATGTAGTGCAGGTACTCGATCTCAGATACCAGATTATGAACCTGCTTTCTAGAAGCGACTAACTGAGCTGCTAAACGCTGATTCTGGTGCTCAATTCGAGCTAGCTGAACTCTGGTCTCTTAATGATGCTGTATCTCACTTTGTAAGAGAGAAGAGTCTTACGGCTCGCGCTGCTGCTTTGCCCACATACGCATCTTGCTTCGTAAGGTAAAATGATAAAGGATAGAGGCGCTGCTAAATAGTGAAGGACAGAATACAAGGCAACTTCGCTAGAAATAATAAATATCTTTCGTCTCCAGGCGCTTACATTACGATAAATGTACCGCTACTGCTAACGCCCCAGCCTCTCAGATCCCCTGGTCCGGGCCTCTTGCCGCTCACACGGCTCAAGCGGGTCCCGGCCGCGCGCAAGGGGGGACGGGCTACGGACTTTAGCTGCCGCACGCCCCACTTTTAGGCCGACCGTGTCGTCTATAATTAACAAGCTCATCTAATTTAGTTAACATCGACGCCCGGTTACTACCCACACTTCCACCGCTGGAAGACCGTTGGACGGCCGCTCATGTTGCTATTTTAGGACATTTATGCCGACCGACGATTTACGAGCGCCTGTTCGTTTCTCATTATGCCGCTATTTTTAGAGGAGACAACGGGCTGCGTGGGTATTTCATCCTCGATAGCCCGGTTATTTTTCTCAAATTAACGTCCCGTTATAGCCCGCTCAATTCATCCTTAAATTTACTCATAAACACTATGGCCGCAGCAAATAATTTCTGCTTTAATCCTCTTGATGATAAAGTGTCCGTCATTGAGACCTCTATAGCACTTCTTGAAAATATCCACCACGCTCTTTAGCTAAAGCGATCAGAATTAATGCACATACTTATGACTCCCATGCTGCCGGGCAGACGAGCTCGCTCTTCCTTTATTTTTGACAGAATCAAGTTGTTAAAGTCTAGCACTGCGGCGGGATCTAAACACATCCAGAACCGCGAGTCTTCAAACGGCTTAAAGCCTTGCTTCGGACGAGGATAGCCGCACCATACGATAAGCAATTTCTACTTAAGATATTAGTTGGTGTCAGGAGCAATCCTTTTTAAGAAGTGCACTTACATTTCCGGGATCGAGCTTCTATAGCGATTCAAGCTGTTCTTTCACCCAATCCATTTGAGAGTTGCTTTCGAGAGACCAGAATAGGGTCACCTTTTAACAGGATCTCGGTTAAGACACGCTCGTGACAGGTTCAGCCGTTCCGCGACTATTTCTTTCCTCTTTTGAATCAACGACTCTTTGTCTTTACTTGACCTCTCGCGCAAGTCAATGTCCATCTCGCTAAGATAATGCATCCTATCGCGTATTTAGTTGTCGTAATTTCGACGAAGAGCCAAGTATAAAGCCAGAGGGAGGACGCCGGCGATGCCCATTCCTTTGGCTACTAGTATGACGTTTTGAAGCCTTTGGAGGCCTAAATCATGCCCATACGGTCCGTCGAGAAGTATGGATTGACCCTCTTTTAATCTCGAGATTGCGCTGCCATGATATTCATGCCGTGAAAGCAGGAACCTAATGTTTGAGACTGATTGAGATGCATCATATGGATCGTGCCAAAATGCAACGGCGGTAAAGCTATGCAGCAAGTTATACTTAACTAATTTCCTCATAGGATACCACGTAAAAGGGAAGAAAATATAGAAATGGTATCCCGCGTAGAGTCGAATCGGGCGACTAAGACTAACGTCAATCTGCACAGTATCTGCAGTTCCCGAGATTTCAACAATTTCTACAGTGTGCCAATAGTACATCAGCCTCGAGACACGGAACACAGTGGTTACTACCCAGAAACCACACGAGCTTCCGATAAGGACTTTTGCTCGCGAGGATGAGGATGAAACGTTGAGCACATGACTCAACAACAAGGAGACCGCACACAGCGAGGCCGCTCTATGGATCCAGAGAAACCATCTTCCGAGGCCCCTCCTAACCAATGGTAAAGCTATAAGAAGCGCTCCCAGGAGCAGACCGAACGACTAGTATTTTAGTTAGGATATAAACAGAGCTAAGAGGGGGTTGACCTACTGTCCAGCCTGTTTAGATCAAGGGGCCCGGTCTCGGGTTCAAGCTCAAGGCAATAATGGAGTAAGACACAGCCTCGATAACAGCAATAAACCCAACCCAGCAGTGTACCATGTGATACCACTCGCGAGGAATGTCTAAAGTCTCAATGATAGGCGCTCGGCCACCCATGCAAAGGGGTGCGATGTTTACGACAGCCATCAAGGCGGCCCTTTTCTGAACTTGCCTCCATCCGGGAAAAAAGGATGGCACGAAAATGACGCTAATGTTAATAAGTAGAAATATAGCGCATATCGCTGCATGAAGACGGGTGGCGCGTAGCCACCTGGAGCTAGTTAAGAGGGGATATTGGATATATCTGGCGAAATAGATAGCAGGGTTGGGAATAACGAACTTCATTATCCAAATAATCAAAGCTATACCGGCAAACCCAAAGAAGGCGATCAAGTATAACATACATGCGTCGAGGCTCATAATGACAGTGTGTTGATGTTGACAAGAAAGACTATGGTTGTACGTTTACCGAAGGGGACTCTGCTTAATATAGCTAATGTTTAGACTAGACTAGCAGTTCTATGAGAGAAGCCGTTTAAATGCCGTTAAGTTTAAAACCGACTCTTAAGATTAAATCCAACATACCTATAGACTTTAACCCTCTCGAAAATGTCTAAGCGCCGGCTCATTATTTAAAAATAGTATCTGTTTATTTTTAGACGACATCCTTATGCCACCTTCCGGATGCCAAGACGGTCCGCATCGGGGTGGGTCCGGAAAGCCCCGCAATTCCCGACGGCGCCTGCGTGTATGCCTCCGACTCCGGTGGTTGGCCCGCACCGGACTTCTATCCGCGCGCCTGGATTCTTCCTGACCTCTAGAAAGCAAGGCCTCCAAAAGTGATATATGTCTAGCGCTTAGGAGCCCTGTGCTCTCTGCTTAAATTGAACATCATTAGCCCCGTTGTTGACCTTCGTCAGTAGCGCCTTTCACGTTCTGTTCAACAGCCCTCACATCTCCCTCACAACGATGCCTAGACAGCGATCCAAGAAGAACAAAGACATCAAGACCGGCACGGCCAATTACCAATGGGGCCTCTGCAAGAAGGGGAACGCTCTTTCGGAAACATACAACGTCGACGTGGTTATCATTACGCGGCGACCGGATGGCTTCATGGGAGGGTTTCAGTCTCGGCCTGGCCTGATGCACGGTCTCACTCAGCTGCTGGAAGAAAAAGATATTATGGGCCCTGATCAGTTCAAAGGCGGCAGGTATCGATTCTTAAATACTCACCGTCCGTCATTGGCCTCAGCCGCATATCAAAGCCCGGTACCGTCAACGTCGAGTTCACTCTCTAACATGCCGAGCTTAGACTCGGATATTCCAAGCTCAGTCTCTGAGCTATCGCTCCTAGAAGACTTACCAGGCTTCCCAACTACTCCCCCCATGCTACTCTCGTCGCCTGGTCTATAGCATGACATGGAGATCAGTCCCACGGATTTAATGTTAGATGACGCCTTAACACAATATGCCTGTCTCGCAAACATTGCACCTGAAAGCACACCATCAGAGTCGCCAAAAGATACCCATGGCATTGTCGCCGCCTGCTCGCAGGATAGCACGACTAATATACTGCAGCCAACACCGGTATCCGCAAAGAAGAGACAGGCGATTCTATCGCTACTGGATAAGTACTTGTGAATGAAATTGCTGGAACGGAGCAGAATCTATCGAGGAATGCGAATGTATTATAGTATCAGCCTGATCTTTTTTATAAGTCTATCTACTTTGGTTCCCGGACAAGTCCTCTGTGTTCGGCACTCCTCTCTAGAACTTATACTCGGACTTGCAAGTCGTTTCCCATCAAAACTGTCAAGTCCCTGATCCTCTATTAGATCTCCCAGTCGGTACGGACAGTTACTTATGCTCCGTAGACGGCTAGTCGGACTGCCAAGTTTAACCGTGATCCACGTTTTAAGCGACGATGCCCTTATTGTGATAGCCCTTGAAAAGCGCTGGAAAGCTTAGCACTTTTGCATAACGTCATCTATGCAAAGGGGAGTCTCAAACGGATTCATCTCACTTCCTTAGTATCTCAGGAGTGTATCGACCCGTCTTAGCTTGTTGAGAAGGTTTAAGAGTGCCTCTCCCGGTTAAATACGGCATAAGACTTGTAAGGTGCATGATTCCGGTGACATATAGAAGTTAGGCAAGCGAGTAAGCTCGATGTAGAATAAAGAACTTACTAGCTTGCTAGCTATGCTGCTAATAGACTGTGGCGGGTATAGCTCCCTAGAATGTTGAATCACGATGTCATGTCGTCCCGAAAGCGAGCTATAACATAAATTAGTTAGACAACGTTTAGGATGAAGTGGGGACTACTTACCTATCGTTCTGGGCAATACCGCTGTTGGAAACTTGTACCCCATGTATATCTAGCAGCATACTGCCTTTATTATATCGCAAGACATCAGACATACCCCAAGTAAGTTTTTTCCCAAAGCTTATCCTGCTTCCAGTCGTCTTTAGACTTCTCATTCTTAATAAATGGTATTTACAGTCAAGAAGCGTCCACTCTTCTATAAACAGCGCGAGAGCAAAAAATATTCCTATTCTCGTTAGCTGCTTTAAAATAGCATATAGAGAGAGGAATTAGTACCAATTTCGCTAGCTATTACCGTATCAAAAAATTCCCATAGAGGTATGGTGGCTAGTCTAAGAGATCGGCTTAGTTCTTGAAGAAACGAAAGGGTGTGCTCGGGATGCCTTCCCCCGAACTCAAGCCTTCTAACCCCAGCAGTAGGAGGTCTGATTATAAATGTGCTTTAGTTGCCTTTCTGACATAGTAAACAGATCGATGGTCTATACTTATGAGGTTGAATTTCGATAAAGCATCTCTTCACACAGGCCTTGCATAGTCGATGGGAGCAGTCTAAAGTAAATATTGACGTGTTAATGAGACAAATTAAGCAGGCGTTTAGGCTTCTAATAAAGGAGATAGCTCTGTTGCCCTGAACCCGCGCGAGATGCTGTATAGACGAATCTATTCGGGACGATTGCATATCGGTTGAAATATTAATGAAGTTCCGTTCAACAGACTCAGTTAGGCCCTTCAACCTGAGCTTATCCTCGCACGTTAGGACACGCTGGCGATAAAGCGACTTAAAGACTTATTGAGGGGGAAACCCTAAATATCGTTAGGCCCTTAAGGGTCTATATATAAAGGAGGTATACATACTATGCCTTGCGGGTGAGAACGCATCCATCATAAGAGCGGATGCAATAAGGCAAGTGATGTCGAGATGTGCAATTTGGCCCTATGTCGCATTAAGGAACTAGGCTAGATTTTCCTCGAACTCTTTCGGGATCGGGTTGGATATCCGGGAAGCGAGGATAGCGTCAAAAGGCAGCAGCGGCTGCCTTACAAACTGGGAGATGGCGGCTCGGAAAAGCGCACGCTTGCAAGGGGGAGCGCAATCTCTTCCCCCAGCCATAGAGGCTGATGGAGAGGCTATGCTCTGCCAAAATTCGTCGCATAAATCAGTCACCCCTGGCACAATCGTGAAGTCAAAGTACGAATGAATCATTCTCTTAACGTCCTTAGCAGAATATGGCGTTGTCGGCTCATCCTTCCGCAGCTCCGAGATCATAGCGGCCACAAATTGGAAGTCATCAAGTCGGGGTGTAGTTTGCGATTCATTGGTTATCAGGATGATCCGAGATCGCCGAGAGTCGTGTTCGGCTTTGGCGCACCTCATCCAGAAATATAGGAAATGCAGTACTTGCTTGGCTCCGAAATCGGCCACGAAGATGATCACAGAGCCACCAAAATTAGAATAAACGTTGTAGTAAAGGCCGAAGGCAAATTGAGACGCCCTCTGTGGCGGTTTAATCAGGTGGTACGCGTAGTGTCCTCGTCTTGGCCCTGCGATGATGCGAGGCATGGCGCCGTCCGGCTGCAGGTGCATCTCGCAGTCGAACAGTAAAGTATGGTGGCTGGCCTTCCTCAAAGACACGGCGAAATCGTCTAGCGGCAGCCCACCTCTCGCCAGGAAGCGCCGCTTTGCCTTGCCGCCAATCGCTAGCGCTATGTTATAGCCGTGCGCTCCTATTTGATCCATAATGCGATATAGAGCCAGATTCTCCTAAAGATATGGGCCTGGCAGCCCAGGAGCACCGGACCTCAAAAGCATCAAAGTTATGTCGCGTGCGTTCCCGTCCTGCCCCGCCAAAGGCTCGACGGCCAATTTGGCTTGTGCGGAGCCGTATTTTGTAAGTGGCGCACTTTTAGCTTATTTTAACCTGCTAATTTAACTGCCAGCAATATGCCCAGTTAGTGCAAGTTAAAGTTAGCATATGTTAGGCGTGAACTAGCATATAAAAGCTGCGTAAACTAGAGAAAGATTGCACGCGTAAGCATCATTCAGCTCTTCGATTGCCTCTCTCTTTCAGTATGAACCCCCTTTTCCAGGAAGGAGCTATAAGAGTTGAGCTTTCGCAGCTTGTTTCTAATGAGTTCGATCCGTACGCTGTTCCCCGCGCCATAGATCTTGCACAGCTTTTACAAGATCCCGAGTATACAATTGAAGGTAGGATCACATCCAAAACGCGCGACAATATCCTAGGGACATTAGGTTGGTCTGCGAATCAGCTTTCACATTCGCAAGAGACCCCTTTTGTTCCCTCCATAAAGGTCTATTGCTCCGCCCCGAACGATGTGATTCGGACAGCAACTCAGACTCTTGGGGACAACCATGTATGCAAAGTACTACTGCATTGTATGCCTCGTAAGTCCTTCCTCTACCATATGGAGTCCCTCTGCCAATGAAAGGTAGCAAAACCCCGAACACTCTCTGATAGCGATGTCTTCCGCAACGTGCGCCACTATATGACAAAGCGCCGATATCATCTAGCAGATTCGTGGCTAAATAAACTCTCCGCATGTAAAAAGAAGATCCTGCAGCTTATAATAAGGAGAAAGCCCATTATGGACGCCATAGACGGTATGCTTTCATTCTTAGGACTCTAGGGGGGACTCGAGATAGGCAACTAGGCGAAGCACCTCGCAGCCCATAACGATGACCTCATCATTAACTATTGGAACTACATGAATTCTCAATGGTCGGACATCATGGCAGGGCTGGACAACTTGCGTCATCTTATCGACTATCGAAGCGTGCGGCGCATTTCGCGTCGTATTCCGGCACTTTGTACTCGCGACAAGCGCCAAATTGAGAAGGACTTCGTAGACAAAAAGAACCCTCTATTTCCTATGATATCTCGATAAAAGGACAGAGATCGCCTGGAAAGGAATATCCTATCTATTGCCGTTATGATACCAAGTATTGATACTTTCCACGACAACATAAGGTACTTAACTATTAGAGCCAAGATTCTTAAGAGAAATATTCAAGTTAAACCTAAGAGAGTTACCACTATAGCCGGAAGCCGGATAAGCTTATTTAAGAGCCTTAAAGCAGACTAGACGGACAGTTCACAGATACAAACGAACCACAGAGAATTTAGAAGCCTCTCAAGGCCTACAACTGCAAGGTTGGCTTACATGCAACTATTTGTTGCTGCCTTGCGGTACTTTCCGTTTTTGTCACTAGAGCCTCCTTTACAGGACACCGAAGGCGTTGGGGCACAAGTGGACAGGCGCTACGTCGGGCTGCTGTGCAGGACAGCTAAAAAGTTGGGATTCACAAACACAAAGGTCGACAAAGGCTGTAAAGCCAGTAGTGAGGACACTCCCCCGGAATTCTTAGAATCCGAGGAGATAAAATTCTGGCGCGGCGGAAAGCCCTCTTACCAGGCTTTAAAAGTACTTTTCAAGGGTCTTTCTTACCGCAACTGCTACATTTCGAGCACCTTAGCTCCTTCGAAAACTCCTAAGACGTGCCAGTTCTATATGTTCAGAAAGACATACTTATAGCTTTCTTTGGTGCTTGGCCGGATCACAATATTACCGATGCCCTTTCGCTTGCAGGCCAAAAACGAAGAAGGCCCATTGAGCCAGAAACGGCTCAGAAACGTCTAAATAGCGGCGGGCCCAATCCTCCATTAGAACCGTCTTCGGTGCCTTCGCCGTTCCAACCAGAGGAAGCGGCACAAAATAATAAATTCCGGCTACGAAAAAGTTCCAGATTAAGAGCCGCAGTTCCTACGAAAAGGTTGTCGCGGCCAGCTGGCATCAAAGCAGTTTTCCTCAAGAAGAAAGAGAAGAGACTAAAGGAGAAAAGTCTCAAAAAGCGGCTGGATCAGACTGAAGTGATCCAAGCGAATCAAGTAATTCCTGTCGCCGAGACCTTTGCCTTTGAAATAAGCGAGCTTGCCAGGGAGATGGACTTAGACCCCGAAATACCGGATATCCCCGAAAGGCAGTCTGTTCCAGAATTTTCAGAGACCTTTCTCCAGTCTAGGCCTCTAGCGGGATCGAAAATCGATATAACCTTGCCGACTGATTTGTCTGCAAACTCTTATCGTTTCGCGCCTGGAGTGGGTTGGACGCAAGGGAGGGCCACGGGGCCGACTGAGATGTCTAACAGGAATGCTGGAAGCCCACGAGTTGTGTCTCGTCAAACTAGAGAAATAACGTCATCAATCTTGCCTCAGCGACAGGCAGCACGTGGCGAAGTCGGCCAGCATTTGGGATCAACTGATTCCCCGGAGACAGACAATATCGAACCACCTTTGAGAAACCCTCTAAGGAAAGCGCCTAAAACAAAGGGGAAACCCGTAAGGCAAGTCACCACCAAAACCAAAAGGCTGGTCGCCACCCAGACTTCCAAAGGCAAAGGCCCAAGACGACTATATCAGAAGGACTTCTCACGAAATTCCGTTGTAAGGCAGCAAAAACAAGACCTACCAACTGCGACAAGCAAGAGCCAGAAGTCCTCTATAGTGAATATTGCTCGTGCTTGTAGAACAACCCAAGAAACAGTCAAAGAAACAGTTCAGTCTTACCTACAGCCCGCCGCTCAGTCTAGTACTAAGTTTGCTGTCCCCGCCCCCTTGACTGAATCGGATTTCGAGATGCTTGCAGAGTTGCTACAAGATTGGAACGGTGGACCAAAGAAGCCTCCAAGCAATCAGGACGTCAGCCCTCCCAAGCAATTCTCAAAGGCCTCTCCTGCTTTGAGCGACAGCAACGAGTTGGCGGCAGATTTAGACGGAGATCTACAGCTCCCCGACGTCAATAGTGACGACGGTCTGTCTCCACCTGGATGGGCCCCGTCTCCGGCCGAGTGGTCTGGCCACTTCCCGGGTGTTAGCATAGATTAGGTCTTGAGCTTTATAAGCGAGAAAAGAACGTATAGTCTGTTTAAGTCGCAATAAATGATATAAATATTCATTTATAGAACATACAATCTAGTAGAATTATCTTGCCAATTTAATATAAGTCAGAGCAGAGGCCAGAACATGCCTAGCCGCATATATATTGTCCCTTATATTTGGCAACTTACCGTCGACTATAGAAGCATAAACTTTCGAGGAGGCCAATGATATCGGAGCGATATTCTGACCATTATCCTACGGTGTCCTTCCATCGATAGACTATAACTGCAGCATGAAGTCATATGAGAGGCTGAGTGGGTTTGCGGCGGCCGAATAAGTAGGCCATTCGCTGGGCTTTGCTGCCGAGATATGAGGGACCACCACTATCGATGCTCCGGGGCGCCCCGGGTGTTAAAATTAAGAAGGACCCAAAATTAACCGTGAAATCGAGCGTAGGGAGACAGCGGCAGAAGCAGTCAAATACTCCGCAGCAAGCTGCTCCCGTCAATGCGATGCGACGACATCGGCAATGCTTCGAAATCTCTTTGTTTGCGCGGCCGTCGCCGCGCTCGCCGCGCACGGCACCCTCAGCGTTTTTTTCCGCCAGAGCGCCAACTTCACAGAGCAGGGTTTGGCGATTGTACAGGTTAGTACAGCTCGCTATGCTACAGCGAGAGTCTAACTTGTCCTTAGTTTTCACTCCACCACCTATCCCCCGAACGCCCGATCAATCTGACGGTCGGAATTTGGGGCTCTTGTCTCGGCTTTAAGCGGAGCAAAAGCTGCATCATGTACCGCGATGCGCTTCCGGAAATGGATAATTCCACGGCAATGATGGTACAGAAATTGTCTCGCCTCAATCTCGGTCCCTTATCAGAAGTGGCAATCATCCTCACGGCGTGTTCAATAGCGTTGTGCTGCGGGCTATTGTTCACCCGTACGTTGACTTTTTAGGCCAAAATTGGAGTGCTTTTCTGTGTGCTACTATCAGCGGGCCCAATAGTTATAGCTATTATATCGTTGGGAAACGTCGTGTCGGACATCAAAAGCATGGGGCTATTGGTTGAGGCTAGCTACGGCGTCGTGTACGGTTGGGCTCTCTTTGGAACGGTTGTTTTTGCTCTCTCCTGCCTGGCAATCGCCCTTGTCTAGAACTTAACTTAAATTTAACGACAGCTTGGCTGTCGTAATATACCCGAATATTGAAAGACGTCTATTTAAGTTCCATTAAAATGCAAGGCTAAGCGCGCGCCTCGTCCGCTTACGTTATATGCGTCTGTTTCTTCTGCCTTTAAATTAAGTGCCTCCTTCGATCTGGAATTCGTATTTTAGACCGCCTTTAGTGCATAAAAACCATTAATGGCCATAGTAGGCAAGCAAGCTTAAGCTTCAAAACGCCAGACTCCAAGAAACATCATGGGTTGTATTCGGTAAGTCTTCAATATCAGATGCCAAGAAGATATAAGCTTACTGGTTATAGATGCTATACAGCTTTTAAACCTTTCGTAGGGGAGGCACAAGCTCGTCTATATGCCGCCCATACACTCTGCACTCTGCCAGAGGGTGTCTTCGGTGACGCGGGGACAGTGAAAGCCCCAGAAAAACACCAACCCACTCAAAGTCACCTCCTTTCTACTTGCGATCTACGAAGGGTCCGTAAAAACATGGCGTCGAAGTTCTCTAAGCGTCGAAAGAACTTTATCAAGAAAGCACATAAGCTACATAAAGACTATGAAGTCGATGTTTTCCTATGCGTACGCAACAAGCGCAACAACCAGATATAGCAGTACTCTAGTGGGTTTACTCCGCCTTCACAGACCGAGATAGTAAGTCTTCTTAGACGAGAAACTCATGAACTTTACACTGACTGTGATAGGCCAATATTTATCCGGTGCCAATTACTCTGGAACCTGAAAGTTTTAGGGGGAAGGAGACCAAGAAGGTGCAAGGTCAAACACACGGCTTTAATATAAAGGCGACCGGAGAGTCAAGTGTAGAAAGGAGCAGCCGTGCGTACGAGTTAGAATAGTGGCGAATTTCTCCGATTACTTTTTGTTTCCATCTCTCCATAAATAACGGAGAGACTGTAGGCTGCTCTCAGGAGGCGCATGGTGCTAAAAGTAAGGTCCGTAGGTAGGCACGACAAAGAGAGGCAGGGCAATGCGGCCGCGACGCAAAACGTCGTAAGCGTTGAGCGCGAGAGAATCGCCGACCCCACGCGGGCTTGAGTTAGCTACCCCCAGAACTCCTTAGCCATCGGTACACTGGAAGCAAGGGATTGGTGTCGCATGAGTAGATGCGCCTAATTCTGCCCTTGTACCCAGATGTATATATTGTAAGGAGTCTAGTAGACTGAGTCGTCGTCATTATATGTAACTTCTTATCTTAAATTAAGCAGCCTACTAAAGGGGACAATTCAAACCGTGGGGAAAAGCAGCCACTGGCTTGGTTGAGTCTGAACGCATTACTTCGTACGATCCATGCTCATGATTGTATGTCAGACACTCGCTCCGGCAAAAAGCTGGTAACTGTGTTATATGTACTCCGTATCGAAAATCCGCTATTACAGCAGGAATGGGGTCAAGTGTTACTAGCAGGGCGCCATGAGCCACTTCAGCCTCATTGGTTTAATTACACATGGTTCCTAGTCCCCTACAGAGCGTCTACTCATGCAGCACTTAAATAAAACGTATTTGTACCAGTAACAACGATATGGTGACTCTGCTAGTTACTACTAACCCCTGAGCGGGGCTTTCTAGGTACTAGTAACGGTAACCTTGGCGAAGCTGCGAGTGCCAGTAACCGCCCACCTGCAGTTGCTGGCAGCCTAGGGCTGCTAGTGACCAATGGAATGAAGTTCCCAGCATTAAGGGGGTTCCGGTAACCTCTACGCCTCTTGTTCCTGGTATCTGATAGCCCTTAAACTACAGTTGCCGGTAACAGATTAAGCGCCCTTGCTGGTACCCGGCTTAGGCCCTAACCGCCCCGTCACCAGTGCCGGGTCACTTACGCGAGAGAGGCAAAAGAATGCCGGTAACCGCTATAGCATACTTATTGAGTTACCGGTAACCCATTTACGATATGTGCGAACCCTATATGGCCGCCCCTACACAGTTGCCAGTGACGCTTGGCGATATTCCCCGGATGGTTTGCAGTTGCCGGTACTACCTATTAGAAGGGGAAATCTAGTACGGAGCGACCCATGGATATGGTTACCAGTATGTACCCGCACGTGACTTTCATGACAGTTATTCTTATTTATTTTAAACACGATTGCAGTATGCCTATGCCGTTCATGCTGATAGTCCCGGGATCTGTTCAACTCAAAGTTGGCACCCGCCAAAAAAATAGCGGATATTCCATTCCGTAATGCAGCCATCCGAAGTTCGACAGTCCTCCCTATCGACCCAAACGGCCACATTGCCGCCAGAGATTCGTCGTCGTTTCCGTAGATTTAAGTCCGTCCGCCTTCAACGTGCACTATACATCTTCATTCAGCGCCACTTGGCTGGCTGGACCGGACCCCCGCCAAGGCAGACAGACTCAAGGCCAAGGTGCCGTTTATTGATCGTGGCATGGTGTCATGCGCCAGTTGGCCTGGGCTTGTGCAGGCGTCCTGCCCCCACCCCCGGGGCGTCCTTTTCGGTGGGTCCGCCCTGGCTGTAACAGTCGAGAAGAAGGGAGATTTGGATCCGAGTCTATGGGCGAAACGGTTCCTAAGATAAGTGGTGCCGTCCCTGCCTCAGGGGCATGGTATGCTCTGCCAACGGCATCTTGGCCGTCATATCCTCGATGCAGCACATGTCATAACGATAACGAAGGGCTTGGCGGTCTAAGCTGGCCGGCAACTGGGCGAATGAGCCGTGGTAATAGAGAACGACACCGTATGGCATAAAGACACGTTTTCACAATGTGCTAGGATGGATGGAGAAAAGATGAACGTTGAAGAGCTCATGGACATGGCTTAGTAGCAGGATACTGTTGTCTACTGACCGGGTACGATCCCAAGCTTCGCGCAGGCGGCCCGGCTATTTGTCATCGCTAAATGTCGTATGGACCGAGTAAACGTGGTAGTGCTGTTGCGGCACGATGTGGCATGTTTGCATGACTGGCCAGACCTATAGCCGGAGAAACATACCATAAGGAATCTCCTCCTCTAGCGTGGATGTCGTATATCAAGCCTGCCTAGAAGGTTTATTCATGAGGTGGCGATATTGCTACGCAACACCGCTGTAGCCTGCTAGGCAACAGCTGCTGCGTAATCATGTGAAGAAACTTTTATTTGTGTATAAAAGAGCTGCACAGTTCCGTGCGTTCGTTCACTCACTTCTTGTTCTTTAGATGATTCTCATCAATTGCCCGATGCCATCTCTGACCCGTGTGGAGCCAAATGTCTCACAGTGGAGCATCCGCGGAGTGCGGTCGGGCGGCGCGGCATGAAGAATGGTGAGGCAAGGAGCTTGACCTAACGCCAGCGTGTTGTCAATCTCACCAGCATTACCTAGTGCTTAAGAAAGAACTTAAAATTCATTACTTATTGTAGATAAAGAAAAATAAGTATAAGTCAAGATTCTTCTTGGTATAACACGTCCTCATGGCTCCTAGGAAGTCCCTACAGCGGGATGTCGTACTTCTCAGCCACGCCGAACTGATCAGTCTCTCCGCACCAAGTTATCCATATACCAGAGGCAGCAATCCTGCGTCCGATCCAGAGAATCCGCTCTTGTCGCTTGAGAGTCTTCGATGGTGGCTCAAGATACCGATCCGCATCATCAATATTCCTGCTAGAAAACCACCCCTTTGGAAAGAAGTTTTCGGCAAACAGCAGCCCGCTTAGAGCGTAATCCTCCGGCAGCGGGCAGGGACCCTCGCTCTTCTCCGGCCCCGGAAACTCGTCGCTATCGATTCTTGATCTCGTCTTTGTTGTCTCTAGTAGATGATTGAGCAGCTTCGCCAAGAGTTTCCACGGATATCGACCCTGCAAGTGCGTCATGGCAGCCGGGAGTCGCGACATATAGAGCATAAATACCAACGTCGTGTGGATAAAGCTCAAGGTGTCCTTGTCCTTCCATCTCCGAAGTACGATCTCGCAGGTCCTAGCGAAAAAAGAAAGGGTATGTTGAAACATCTCGTTTGCGTCGGGCTGGGGTTCTCTAACGGCTTCGTCATTTGCACCTGATTTGTTCCTTTGGCATAAAACCACCTGCATTAGGACGTTTGACTCGACGCCAAACCCTAGTAGAGAGCAACAAGCAGAAACGCCCACGAAGTATCTAGGCTCGTGAGTAATTGTGCAGGCTTGTAGGAGGCTGCGTTGATTATCTTACCCGGATTTAAGCCACTAGGAACGCGTAGTGCAGATCCAGCGATCGATAAGATCTAGAAACTGGTCCATTGATGCTTGCAACTGGTCTAGAGAGCGTCCTGAAAGAAGGATTCCGTGCACACGCACAAAAGCTATTTCTGCGGATTTCGCCCACTGACTCGAGTCGGGGCCCAGAAGCGGGTTTATGAGAGTCGAAATGCTGTCCTAAGCGCCCGTAAATGGAAGAAGAACACAGAGCGACTTGGCGTAGTAGTATAGCTGCTGTAGCGCATTTAGGCGCGCGAGGATTGCGAGATGGTGGTAGAGACGGCCAGTCGCGGGCGATATATCTAAAGATTTATTATACCAGCACCAAGAGATCCTCATCCATATTGCTCGATCTTGAATATCATCGCCCTCGATCGCCATTCGGTGCCTTGCTAGGTGACCTAGGCATTCTAGCCAAGTCTCCTTAAACGCTGGTATCGTCTCGTAGAAGAGAGTCATCATACTATAAGCAGTATAAATAAAGCTAAGCATATGCTCTAATAATGCCGGGAGCCTATGCCGAAGTAGCTCTAGGAGCGAGTGAATACCATGACTCCACATGCGCATAGGCATCATATTTTTCGATAGAAGGCGTCGAATATCGTCGATTGCGAAAGGGTGCTGGCTAGCGAGAAAGAAGTCGTGGTGGAATTCCCAGAGGGATTGATGTAGCCGTATTAAAGCTTGAAACTGTTCGTGGCTAAGCTCTTAAGACGCCTGGGTGCTGTGGTACTTGATACATGTGCTCTCAAGCATGGCTAGACCGGCGTAGACAGCCTTTACCTCCTCTAGAAGGTGCTTAGGTGGCTGTACTACCGGCTCTCGAATCATCTCCCAGGCCGCAGGTTGTTCCCTGGGTGATTGCTGGGAACTGTGGTCCGGTTGTGGGCAACTGTGGCCATACTTCCAGCCAAAGTCTCTCTTCTCGTCTAGACCTGCATAATTGTATTCCAGAGAAGAAGAAAATGAGCTGCGCTGCTGAGCCATCGGGACTAGAAGTGAGCATAAAGTCCGGTTGCATTGGCGAGTGTTGCTCTCAGATCGGCCCCCGGAATCAACCTGCCCGTCCAGTCCTTTGGCTAGTGCTGGGCCTTCTGATGTCAAAAAAACGGAACCGCGTATCGCGACGGCTTTATAAGCCTCTTCTATATCGGCATCGTCTTTAAATTTAGGGTGCCTGGCAGAGTCGCTGCGGATGTGTGCCTTGAATGACCCCAAATCCGGTTGGATATCGACGGAGCAGAAGGGACAGCTGCTCTGGGGAGCCATTTTCTCGGGGATCATTTTGCAGAGCTGATAAACTGGACCCTTGGTATTTCTCTAGCGGATGCGACGGGAACGGCGGCACGGACAGACGAATGATAAAGGTGCGATGAGTTGGAACACTTGGTTGACGGAGCGTTAAATGGCGGTTTGAAGTGAGGCAAATTGTTCGTTAAGCAGCAAGAAAGCAAAGGAAGGGAGGGAGTGAGCTTTTTAAAGAAGGAGTAACGTACTTAGTACTTGACAGACTAGGTCAAATTATACATATTATCTCACCGGAATATACATGCCGGGCTGCATACGATTTCCAGGTTTAGATGTACTTATGTAGTCACCGCTTGGCCCAGGCTTGCATACTTCAAGGGCTATAGAGCCGACTATGTTAACGTATATAGGTACTCTGCCGACCGAACTAAGATTTTGCAGGGGTCACGCTGTGATAATATTATTTTGATCTCATAGAACCTCTGCGTCCTTTTAGGCGTCTCCTTTTCTAAAGCAGTCAGTGCAGTTCTTTCCACTTATACCTAAGCCAAACATCTTAGAGCCAGGGCTAGTTAGCTTACTAGCACCTTCCGTTAGAACCCGGGTCGACGGTATACTAAAGAAGTCGTTAAAGATAGATAGGACTTATCCCCATTCCTACGACGCCTCTTTGGCCTCCTCACGTCGTATTTTTCTGCTTTATTCGCTATAACCCACGATCGTATGCGAGATCTACCCCGCAAGCCTTCCTCAGACTCATTTTCCTTTAGCTCCTTATTAAACCCGTCCTCGGATACACCTTCCGAATCGTTTCCGGGCTGGCCTAGACCTCTTGCTCGGGGTCAAGCCGCGCAGTCCACAGCCACCTTAACGATTGTAGCGCTATATATGATCCATTTAGACTTATTGAGTAGCCCAGGCAGGAGACTGCCATTCGCGTCAACGCCGCGCTGCACTATGGCATCCCGCCGCCACTCTCCTCGAAGAATAAAGTCTTTGATACAGGACTTGCTATCGCGCGGAGTTCACAGGGCTCTAGGAGAGCGTTGGGGAAGCGTCGTTCTTAGAAATTTAGCGTGGTAGCGTACGAGGTCGTGTCGATACAGCTCCTATCAAGATAATCAAGATCAGTATGGATAGCTTAGGAGGAAGATAAGGGACAGAATTGAGAAGGAGCAAGATAGTTTATCTTTAAGACGTAGAGAAAGTAGTGGCTATAGATTAGAATAGCATCGCAAGAGAGCTGCACTCTACTAACGCTTTGAAGATTGTAGCCCAGATAAGCAGTCTTACAAACATTTCCAGCAATTACTTAACACGCCGGCAACAAAGTGAAGCCCATGTTATAGAGCTTCTCCTAGTTGGGCTTCTTGAGGGATGTTTGCATTGTCGTCGGTCTAGTCTTATGCGCCAAGAGCATCGAGTCTTGATAGCGAGAATATGGTGTCCTCGCCAAGGATATCGCTCGGATAAGATGTGGGATCGGAAGTATGACGGCTGGTCTGTCGTGAAAGCAATACTCCCTTAGCTGCATCGTTCCTTGTTAGTTCTGCTTGACGGGGAGTAGGCTAGAAGCTAGCGTATAGTAGAATCTAAAGGTCTCTGGGGCGCGTGTTGTTAATAAAGAGGTCACTTCATTCCGCGTCCCGGGGCAATATTAATAATGTAGTTCTAAAAAGCGTAAACGGATTAAAGAGAGTCCGGGGGCAATGGATTTATTGCTTATATAATTAAAGTCGATGCGCATGTACTTAGGCTGGTAGGTACGGGCAAGGGACTACCTATTTATTTAAAGCACACCGTCCTGCACTTCGTCAAAAAATTTATTTGCCCAAGTCCTTTGCTAAATCTCACATAAATTATTGCTGCCACTCCTTACTAAGCCGGACCTCGTCTGCTTTTAATTAATCCGATGGACAAAGAAAAGCCAGCCAGTCGTGTGCGCAAAGTAAACCGCAACACCCCGGCGGCCAGATGGAACCTAGAAATGTCTAGGCGCATTCGGCGTGCACTCGACAATGATCCTAAAGCCGACATGACTACGCTCCTGGCATCGACGTATTCAACACAGTTGCAGTCGCTCAAGACATCAAGTGGTACTAATTACCCATTCCCGGATACTCATTTGGTACTTGTTGGCCTGCTAACGAGTTTTGCATTTATATATAGCCACTCGACCACATGCGTCAAACCAAGACGCAAAGCCCACGCATTTAACTTGGCATCATGATGATATACGCTCTCGACTAGACGCGTCTGCCCACTTGGCAATTATAACTGAGCCATCCCCCGACCTGCTTGCCCTTTTCGCAAGCAACAATCTATCTCAAGCTATTATAGACTTGCTAGATTAAGGTCGTGTCCTCTATAAGAGCCCGTCTGCCATGGTGCTCGGTTTTCACGATGAGATCGCCGTTAAGATCACCCACGAAAACCTTGAAACTGAACATGCGGCTCTTGTTTATCTGCAAAGCCAGCTCCCTAGCTTTCCTGTCCCGAGACCACATGGCTTCATCCGCTTAGGCACCTTCTACCTCCTATTCACCACTTTCATTCCGAGATTTAACTTGGAGAAGGCGTGGCCGCAACTAGAGGAGGGTCAAAAGCAAGACATCAGCCATTAGCTTGATTCTATCTTCTCTAAGTTAAGATCGCTCCCCTTTCCCGACAATCATCCCATCGGCGGCGTTCGTGGAGAGGGCTGCAAGGATATACGACGAGACGTCCGTACTAGTCCCAAGCCCATCAAGGACGTCAAGCAATTTGAAGACTTTGTCTTTGCTGGTTCCAATATAGCTTCATCGCTATATATCGACCTCTTGCGCAGCTTGATGCCGCGCTCTCAAGCAAATTGTGTTTTTACCCATGGAGACATTCGTCCAGCCAATATCATGGTGGACAGAGCCAAGGATCGAACCTGGAAAGTTGTCGCTATTATAGACTGGGACGCAAGCGGCTTCTATCCTGAATATTGGGAGTGTGCTAAGGTGACCAACAACATGACTTCGAGGGAGACCTTTGACTGGTATAAATACGTGCCGAAGTCCTTGTCACCACAACAGTACCCTATTCAGTGGCTGGTAGATAGGCTGTGGGATCGTGACATACTTAATAGCTAAAATCATGGCGCTTTCTTACTCAGTCAACGGCTAATTTCGCGGAATATTGAAATCAGAAATGAGTAAATGCTTTAGAGCGTGTACGCAGAGGAGTGGCTCTCTAGAAATAAAACGGCGGTATATAGCAAGTCATCATTATTAAAAGACGACATTATGAAAGACGGCGACTATCGCAATCCGGCCACAAACAACATTATGCCTCCGATCAGCTTCCCTACTCGTCAGAATCATAGACGTACTCTTCTGACAGAATCCGTTGGTCCTCTCCCCCCGCCTGTTCCCCACTCTGCTCTTCCTGATCCTCCTCATCTTTATCATCTCCATATTGTCCACCAAAGTCCTGGCCATAGTAGGGAATCAAGCTATCTCTGCCCATACGCCATGTTGCGTTGTCGATCATCCCGTGGTCCAACATGATCTGCCAAATATCTAAGGCATAATCTTGGCAGTTCTAGTATAGGCCCTCCCTAGGGACCGGAATGCTGCGGATCGCCCTAGTAAGTGTGCCCCACCAGTCTTCGTGTACTTCACATAGGAAGGTAAGGGGTTAAAGACACCTTCGCGAGTTAATCGGATTGGCTTGGCGGTAATCGGGCCTATACGGCCCATCTTGCACATCTTGGACCACTTCAAAGATGTGCCATTGTCCCGTTCTCGCATGCACGACTGCGAATGCCCAGTGATAGTAGTTGCCGGAGTGTGGCTGATAGATGGCACAATAGACGCCAAGGCTAGCATGTTGACTCGGGTCTGCGTCCTCTGACTTTGGCGTGTGCTTGGACTTGCGAGACTTGGAATCCTTCTCCTTAGATTTTTCCTTGGCCTTATCCTTAGACTTTTCCTTCTTCGACTTGTGCGACCTAGATGAACGTGAGAACATAATGTCTGCAAAAAGAGAGCAAAAAAAATAAAGCCGGGACAAGGCCTGGCCCGAATTAATACTGGCGCTAGGAGTTGTCGTGATTCTCGTATAAGCCCGCACACTTAAATCAGGATGATTTCATCTTTATATCCTCACGGTGGATTATATGGTAGCCAGTAGTTCCCCTTTAAACACCGTGTTTTACATAAATAAATAACTGCTCCTTCTATATCTATGCACCTAAAAGAGGCCCTATTAATTGCGGATAGGAGATATGGGTATTTAGGGTTAAGGGTCTTCACGGTGCTGGTCAGTTTGTACACTTTCATCATAAATGACTACAGCATGAGATGTTCTCAAGCATATGGACTACCGTGACTCCTGTTGTGCTTATGCGCAAGCCGTTGCGGACTAGCAACAGCAGGATACGCAAGCCGTTGCAGGCTAGCAACAGCAGGATACGCAAGCCGTTGCGGGCTAGCAACAGCAGGATGCGCAAGCCGTTGCGGGCTAGCAGCAGCAGGATGCGCAAGCCGTTGCGGGCCAGCTCTTATCACTTTATATACAGTCTGGTTCCACGTAAATAGGAGCGATCATTCTCGGCGTTACCCTTGCAGGCAGGCCAATCTAGGTGAGGGAACCCCCAATATTTAGAGACCAGGTCGATACCCATCACCCAGCAGAGGGAGCCAATAAAGTCTTGTGCCTTACGAGTACTATGGTGAGCGTGACGTAGGGATCTAGTATCGCCTAGGATTATGGGGACTTTTCTTATAGTATGATATGCTAGAAAACGAAGGTATTTCCTCCTACACGGCGTCCGACTGGCTACAATCCCTTTAAGTAGCCTAGGGTTCCCCATATGTCCTCGCACTGCCAAATGATATGTACACCCCTAGGTTTGTGGCTATTCAAACTCAGCAGTAAGCCGTTGCTCAGCCGCTACTCAGGTTAGAATGGTGAACGACTTAAGAAAGTATACCGCAAAGGGAACGTTTGGAGAGTACAGAGTAACCCTGTCTATATTACAGAAACGTGTACATCCGTCGCTAGCATAGAGCAAGCAACTAGATTCAAGTATAAACTCAACAGACCCCATCTCGTGTTCTCTACCAGTATTTAACAGCGCTTACTCGTTCCCGTCAATCTGCTTGTTGGGCACCGCCTAACACTCGACTATTGGTATACAAATGATCGCCTGCCCAGCTTTATTAGTATGTTTATTCTGGGCTTCTATCAGCTCCATGCTTAACTCTAACATTCTGTTTTCTAGAGCCACTAAATACGTGTAAACCACCTGCCGACAGATGCGAAGTTTTTATTGAAACAAATCCGTCGTCGCGAATCTGATTGAGACAATGTCGCAACGCCTATCTCCCCTTTCCAGGACCTCCACATACTCCGAAGGCTCGTTGTCCACTAAGCAGCAACCTAATCAGCATTTTGATGCCATTGAGCGTGTTCAGAGTCCCGAGTTTCAGCACGACGGTATGAATGGCACTGAGCTTTTTTATAGCGATGGAGTACTTAACTGATATAAAAGGACATAGGCAATGCTTCCAGAGAGTCATTTCAAGCTAAAGAGCTTGAGGACGGGACAGCGCGTATTGGAGAGGCCATTCAACCCCGATGCGAGCAACCTCGTAAGATAGTTGGCAGCTTGACAGGCGGAGAGATCCCCGCCGTCGCCCTCCGGATTATGCTCCGAGGATTCGTACGAAGTCTTGTTACAGAACTAGAAGCGAATACCGAAGAAGCACAGAGAGCATATGAGTTTGCGCAGAGGTGCTTGTCCGAGTTATCACATCAAGACCTTGAGGCGATTACACGATTTCAAGGACATATTGGATCCCCACGGACATTTGGAGGCGACCCACCATACCCAGTAGCTAAGTACATGGAAATTTCTCATAGGCAGGTCATATATATAGACGGCATTATTAATGCCATAGAGACCGAGAACGCATTTGTGAGTTTTCTGGCAAGCGAACCGACTGAAAACTAACCCGCGCAGGAACGGTTGTTTCAAGCTGCTGAAAAGACAGCAAAGGAGATGGGCCTTAGAACAATGGAGGAACGTGCAACAGCAAGCTTAAGGGCTTGTTGGGAAACTACTATATCGTTCAGGCAAAAGTGAAGTGACAATCCGACAAATGACCTGGCAGTGGACCATATATGCCATGGAGGTGCTGGTAGCAGCTGACAGGCTATAGTCGACGATGCTATGGCGGGAACAAACTTATTCTAATACTATAGGCTAATCGTAAGGATCTTATTCCTTTCTAGATATAGATGTCGTTACACAAGTCTTTACAATGACCTACTACTATAAAGAACATTAAGTCGTAGAGTTTTAAGAGGTACCTTCTAACAACTAAAATGTCCTTTCCTGACGACGCAACCTTCTGCTGTCTTTGTTGTAAGCTACATGACCTTGACCGGGTGGGGAGATTAACTAAGCGGCAGATTTGAAAATACCCTTTGGTTCGTCTGCCTATTGAGATTACGTAGTCTCTACGAGATTCACTCCGTTCATTCCCCTGGGCCTGGTTGCACCTGAGTGTCCGCTGTATTCCTGCTTTCTTTAGGCTGGTGGGCTCGATGATAACTTGTTTGACATGGGACTTGTAAACTTGAAGTCACTCTAGCTGTCTCCCGAAAGTCTCTAATAAGACGGAAGGACTGATGCCAAATGCCCGAGTTCTTCGGATACAAGGTCAATGCATTGAGGCCAGGGCCGCTTGTAGCAGTCATGTATAACAGTCAGTTGCGCCGTATTTCTTAGCCGAGGCTATGGCTTGACGTTGGGTTGGGACTGATTGGCTCTGCGTATACCTGTACACGGCAGCCCGTGTCGACGGCTGCCAACGCCCGAGGCTGCAGGTTTGCTGTTGGGGCAGGCCACTGCAAGAGACCGTTGGCATGGCTGTGTGCGGCAGCCGTTGCGGTGATGCGTGCGGGGCTGAATTCAGCGCATTTAATGTGCATTGCATGTGTTGAAGCATCGCATGCCCCGAGCAACGCAACATGGACTGGCACCCTCCATCCGCATGCAGAGGTGACTTGCGGATACTACGTCGCATTTCGTATACGTCATAACGAGGTAGGGGTTACACACTTGCATGTTGGAGACAAGGATTGGTGTTGGGGGCTGGGGAGTATATAGCTCGAGGCCACCGTGAACCAGCGCACGGACTTAAAGAAGAATATTACACGCCAAGTGTGCTCTTTAAGTCCATGCCTACGCCCTCGAGCCTATATAACACACCTTGCCACTTGCTTTTGACTCCCCTAGAGCTTGCGTTATAAGAAATATCTTCAAACCGTCAAAAGATCCCTCTTCCTCGACTCTCTGCCAGCATGTGCACTATTAGGTTCAGCACTATTATTTATACTTGTGGCGACATAGAAGAGGACACCACTATGTTCAACCCGTGCAACCAACAAACTGCAGCGAACCACAGTGTGAGCCGGGTTCCTTTTGGATCGAAGAGAGTCGGAAGGAAGTGTGGCAAGTTTAACTGCCGTAACCCGGATGCGCAGTCTACTTCTGTAAGTCAACTCGTCGAATCATAATACCTAGTATATTGCTAAGTTATTTAGAACTAATCTATGATGCGGTGACATCTAGCAAGGGCTCGCTCGGGAACGATGGGGCATGATCCAACAGTGTAACGGCTGGTGTATTCATTTTGCGGGCCCGCCCGCTTGCGCCCTCTTACATGCCATTCAGGCAGCGGATGGAGAAATGGGAAACTTGAGAAACCACTCATTTATTCGATCAATTATTCTATATCTATGGAGAGAGCATGCTGCGAACCCAATCAAACCATTCAGCCAGCCAGAACCGAGTCCTCTCTGCCCTGTCCATCTCTGCTTGCAAAGATTGAAGCACATTCTCCGCGCTCGCATACTCGTTCTTCCAACACTTCATGATAATATCGCCTGCGAAAAGCTCGTCTACATCGGGAAATGTTCCCTGCAGGAATAGATTATCAACCTTATTCCCATAGTCGTTCATTTCCTCTGGCGACTTAAAAACCCCAAGTCCCCGGAATGGCCAATGACCAGTGAGGATGGCATAGAGGACAGACCCGATACTGAAGATGTCCATTTGCGTCGTCGCGCTCGGCTCCAGCGTGGGGTCGAAGAAGCCTGAATCGGGTAAATGTCCACCATAGACGCCTAGCTCGTCGCATTTTGAGCCTCCAAAATCACATAGCCAGAGGTCTAGAGACATCAGTGTGGTTTCGTGGATCAGGAAGTTCTCGGGGCGCAGGTCGGCATGGACTACTCCACGATGATGAATATACGCGACGGCTTCAACGGCCTGTAGGCACCACTTCTTGCGGACTGCCAGGGGGGTCTTGCTTTCGACTTCATTTTGATCCAAGTACCGCTGGAGATCGCCATGACTAGCCTCGGCAAGAAGAATTCCTCGTGGATCTCCTTCGCCCTGGTTCCTGCCTAGGTACCTGAACGTACTCTTAGTCGTGTAGGAGCTTATCGTGGGAGTGGTGACCTACTTGACAATCCTTGGATGGTGCCCTAGATGTTCGAGAATCTGGCATTCAACTGAGAAGCTGGTTTCGATGTCCCGAGTCAAGGTGTCGTATAATCTGCTTTCTTTCCATATTTGACGTGGATACTTAAGCACCTCGCCGTTTTGCACTCGAATAAATTCAGAAGTAGAGCCCTCGAAGCTCGTTTTATCCATTGCAAGAATGAGGACGGATGATCGCGTGGTTTCCTGCGTTATTCAGAGCAATCTGGACGTGCCTGCACCTAGGAGGGAAGGAACAGGTGGCCTAAAAGCGGAAGTGAGTGGCCTGTTAATTAACCAGCCCCTCAATGACGGGGCTGATTCTTGGTTATTACGTAGTGGCTGACTAGTAAGCGCTCTGGCCAGAAACGCCACCCTATTGGCTTATTCCTTTAAAGGACTTAAGGCTAGAAGCTGTCGTGCTGGGATCACGGTCACTAAAAACCCTCATGTTAAGCGGCACATCACAAGAGAAGTACTATAATCCCCGGTCGCTTACATTGGAGGTATTGTACGTTAGCCAAAGGCGATCTCGCACCGCAGGTAAAGTGGAGGCTGTGGGAGCAAATAATCTTTTAATGCCTTTGAAGGGCTGGCCTCCCCTGTTAGCACCGAAACAACGCCTGCGGAGTGGAAAACATGGCACCCTGCGGCCTGTTACGTAGAGATACAAGAGAGTTGATTTTATCAATGCATCAAAACATGCGTCTCTTTGCAAGACAATGAGAATTTTGTGCCTTCTATGGCCGGGCATAGCAGAAACTTAATCCCGATTTAATCTGACGATCCCGTCTGCATGCGGTCCGGCAAATCCGGCCCAACTATGAACACCACAGTGACCATTGTATTCTCATCACGCTGCAAAGATTCAGCATATGCGCGTTCCCTCTGGCCGGGGAACCGCTTGTGCTTCACGGCTTGCCATACTTTGATCTTAAAGCTTGCCACTGAGGTCATACTCAGACTTCTGTCTTGCTAGCCTCCGACTCCTTCTTACTGTTTTCTCGCCGTCTCTTACTAAGGTATGTTGGTCCCGCGCTGTGCCCTGCTTTACCCTTCCTTGTTCTTTCGTGTGCCTCCTTGTTCGCAACAGTTTTGGCGAAGCGCGATCGAGCGAACCTTGCCCGTTGGAATCAGCATTGTTTACGGATCGACGTAGCAGCGGAGGAGGCTTATTCGTCTGAGCCGTGTTGTGGTTGGCTAATTTCTCGGCAGCAGGTTGTCGGGGCTGGTCACCTTGTAGACAGCTGCGGTCAGCCCGCGGCATCTGTGGAGATGGATGTGTTTTCTGTTTGGCCCGTCTTTGACTCCTAGAGGGTCGAACGATGTCCGTATCTACAGTCGAAGCAGCTATTCGTTGATGTGGCCGACGGAGGTTGGTCTTCGGATATACAGTGGATCGGACAGTTTGGTGCGACTCGGCAGGTGGGATAGATACCCGTCGACGCTTGTTTCTCGCTGGTCCGGCTGAGGAATCGGTATCGCTATCGTGCTGTCACGGGCTGTGCCCGGCTGGTGGACCCGGTTGTACCGGGTCCGGTGGGTCGTGCTCCGGTGGCAACACCGGCCCCGCTCCGCGGACCCAGAAGCTGCGAGAACATTCCGAGAAGGGCAATATAAGCTCGCACTCGAGGCTACGCCTCGAGTTCAGCTTCTTTCCTCCTTAGCTCTAGATAGACAACACCTAGGCACCTGCTTGTTGAATAAACTCCGGGCCAGCCTTTCACATATCTAGAGCTCCTTCTAAATACCGCAAGCTGCAGACTGCTCGTCAGGATGGACCAGCAGAGTGAGCCCAAGTCTCCAGCAGCAATGGATTGACCAACGCATTCAAGAAGCGGTCAATGCGACTCTCAGCCCTCTACAGGACCAACTTTCCTTGCTGATGGAGCAACTCGGGCGAGCGCAGCCGCAGAGCGCCGACTTGCAATCGCCGCCAGTGGCACGAGGATTGGGCGAGCACGCCTGGCTTGGGCACGCCCTCCCAAAACCTGCGGTACTGGAATGCGGAAACCGTTGCCCAACCCACCCAAGTATGACGGCTCACGGAAGAGCTACTCCGCCTGGGCCAGGCAGATGCGAGACAAGCTGGACCTTGATGCACACTACTACAGTGGAAATCGCGAACTTTGGTACCTCATCAACTCATGTTTGGACGAGCGACCACAGCAAGTGGTCGCTACCTTTACGCCGCGGGAGGCCCTGGGGTAGCTACGACCCCAAGAGTTCATGCGATACCTCGACCGAACCTACCAGGACAGCAACATCAATCCCGCGCTGCTGCCACGCTGAGAACTATGCGGCAGCGCGAAGACCAACCTCTCGCGTCCTTCCTTCCCCGATTCGAACAGGCATTAGCTGAAGCCGGGGGAGCAGACTGGCCGGACAGTGCAAAGATCGTATTTCTAGAGAACGCAATAAATGCACGCCTCAAGAGAGTTTGGTCACAGCCGTCCTACCCGACGACTACCAGGGATGGCTTGCGAGAGTTCAGGAAATTGCGGGCAGATTGGAGAGACTGAAACCCGGTAGGCAGCCGACGTCGACTGAGCGGACGCCTCAACAGCTACCAAGGCAACGACCCAAGGAGGAACCGGAGGACCCCGACGGAGATGTTAAGATGACGGACATCAACCGTATTGGCCACGAGTCGAAGGGTCGTCGACATGTCGATAAGAAGCCGAAGGATGAGCGCCGCTGCTATCGCTGTGGTCGGACGGATCATCTTATCGTGGACTGCCCAGCCCAGGTGGTCTTTCCTGGCGAAGGGAAGCAACAGCGACCTAAAGCTGCGCGCATGAAGAAGCCCGATGCCGCAGATGATTCGGAATCAACCGCAGCATCCAGTGAGGACGAGTCGGCGGGAAAAGACTAGCCCCGGGCGAAAGCGGGCGCCGGGGCCTGCAAAGGCAGACATCCGGGACTGGGAAGCGTTCAAGCCACGAATGAATAGTCGGACTGTATTAGTCAACGCGCGGGTAAACCGAGGCTATCGAATACGCGCCCTTGTCGACTGTGGATGTGACTGCTATGCCGTGATCGACGAAGCCCTTGTTCGGAAGCTGCGGATACCCTTCGTCGACTCGAAACCACGAGAAATTGGGGGATTCTCAGAGTCAGCGAAGAGTGTCATATCCCCAGGGTCGTGGCTGTTGTGGTCGAGACAGCTGGATTTGACGAACGTGTCTTTGCATACGTGATCCCAAGCCTGGGCCAGGACATGTTCCTCGGCCGGCCTTGGATGGAGAGAAATCACGTCGTGTACGATGCTGCCAAGCAGCGAATGTACCATGGGAGGGCAGGTGTGACGATACGCCTCATTGGGCAGGAAGAGCCCGCCAAGATACGCGCGATTCGAAGCGCAAGACTCGTGTCGGCAGCCGTATTCACGGCGGAGTGTCGACGCGCAAAGAGACGCAAGAAGTGCAACGCGATCTCGATTCATGCAATCAGTTTGTCGGATATAGAGAGGCGCTTCAGCCGAAGCCGCCAGTCGATCCGAGCGAGAAGGTCCCGGCAGAAGTGCTGAAAGAATTCCGCGACCTATTCTCACCAGGAGAGGCAATGAAGCTGCCGCCACATCGACCGGGTGTGGATCATGAAGTCAACCTGCAGCCTGACAAGAACGGCAACGAGCCACCCCTTCCGTGGGGCCCACTCTACAACATGTCACGAGAAGAGCTGTTGGTCTTGCGAAAGACCCTGAAAGACCTGCTGGACAGAGGATTCATCCGAGCGAGTAGCTCAGCGGCTGCCGCGCCGGTGCTGTTCGTGCGGAAGCCGAATGGAGGGCTGCGATTTTGTTGCGACTACCGAGCGCTGAATGCAATCACCAAGCGCGACCGATACCCACTGCCCCTCATCGCGGAGACCCTGCAGAATCTGGCCAAGGCTAAGTGGTTCACCAAGTTGGACGTGGTGGCCGCTTTCCATAAGATCCGCATGGCTCCGGGACATGAGGAAAGACTGCATTTCGCACGAGGTTTGGGCTCTACGAGTGGCTCGTGTGCCCTTTCGGCCTGAGCGGCGCCCCGGCATCATTCCAACGATACATGAACAGTGTATTGCGCGAATGGCTGGACGACTTTGTCACAGCGTACCTGGATGATGTACTGATCTACTCGAGCGGTTCGAAGGCGGATCATGAGGCTAAGGTGCGACGAGTTCTCCAAGCACTCGCCGACGCTGGGCTGCACCTAGACCCAGCGAAGTGCGAGTTTTCGGTACAAGAGGTCAAATACCTTGGGTTCATCGTCAACGCAGGAAAGGAATCGCCTGCGACCCCGAAAAGCAGCGCGCCATCCGCGAATGGGAGGCCCCGACCACGGTGAAGGGTGTCAGAAGCTTTCTGGGCTTCGCCAACTATTACCGGATCTTCATCCCCGACTATGCCAAGATCACGCAGTCTCTGGATGCCCTGCTTAAGAAAGGAACTGCCTTTCATTGGGGACGAGCGGAGAACGAGGCGTTTCAGGAGCTGAAGCGACGATTTTGCGAGTCACCGGTGCTCAAGCAGTGGGACCCGAGCCTCCCGACCTTTTTGGAGACGGATTGCTCAGGCTACGCATTGGGAGGCGTCCTGTCGCAGGAAGGCCCAGATGGACGTCGACACGCATGCGCCTTCTTCTCGAAGCGACTTTCGCCAGCGGAGTACAACTATCCCATTCACGACAAGGAGATGCTTGCCATCATGAGATGTCTCGACAACTGGAACGCCGAACTTAGGAGCTGCGGCCCATTTACAATCCTTACCGATCACCGCAACCTGGAGTATTTCGCGACACGCCAGAAGCTCACGGAACGGCAGAGCCGTTGGGCAGCCAATTGTCCCAGTTCGACTTCAAGCTCGAGTATCGACCGGGAAGCGAGGCTGTCGTGCCTGATGCGTTGTCCCGCCGTGAACAAGACAAGCCACAGGGCATCGACGACGAGCGGGAACAAGGAAGAATGATACAGTTGATACCGGATAGTGCCATTCCATCATCGACAAGAGCATGTATCAACGCGATGAGTTCTGACTGTTCAGAGGCATCCACCCTGCCGAAGATGAAGGTCTTCGAGGTAGCGGACCTGCAGCAACTCTGGGACGAAACGGTGGCGAAGGACTCGATATTCCGGGCAGCCTATAAGGCAGTCCGCGATCGCGAGCGTGCCTTCCCGCCCTCGCTGGGCCTGAAGATCCAGATTTCAGAATGTGCGATCGACGCAGGCAAAAGGCTGACATTCAGAGACCGTATTTGGGTGCCGGGTGGATCCGGAGAGGAGGGTAACCAGGAGGAAGCTGAGAAAGACCAGTTGAGAACCCGCATTGTGCAGCAGTCGCATGACTCTGTTGCGACCGGTCATCCCGGCAGGGAAGGTACGCTGGCTATTGTGGCTCGGCGATTCTACTGGCCTGGGCAGTCCCAGCTGGTTCGCCGGTACGTAGCCAATTGCGACACCTGCGGCAGAGCACACATCTGGCGCCAGTCGAAAAGGGGTTTCTCAAGCCTCTGCCGATTCCAGATCGACCCCGAAGCCATTTGTCCATGGACTTCATCACAGATCTGCCGCCTACTGGACCGAGCAAGGCAAGGTACCTGTGGGTGATTGTGGACAGACTGACAAAGGCTGTGACCCTCGAGGTGATGGACAACATGGAAGCTGAGCCGTGTGCAAACCGTTTTCTCCAGTGTCATTACCGATTTCACGGAATGCCACGGTCCATCGTCAGCGACCGCGGGAGCAACTGGCTAAGTAGGTTCTGGAAGAGGTTCTGCCGTCTTGCAGGTGTCACGCAGAAATTGAGCACGGCCTATCATCCTCAGACGGACGGAGGGCCAGAGAGAATGAACCAGGAGATCGAGGCCTACCTGAGAGCCTACGTGTCGTACGTGCAGGACGACTGGGGAGAACTGCTCCCTGCCGCGCAGCTGGCACTCAACAATCGTGAATCCGCAGCGACCAAGATCAGCCCTTTTTCGCTGAGCATGGTTACCACGTCGATCCCATCAGCGTCGAGGAATCGGAAGAGCCACCGAGGCATAGAGAGGAAAGCAGAGCTGATAGCCTACTCAGTCGCCTGCAGGAGGTCAATGAGTACATGCAAGCAGTGATGGCCTCCTCACAGCAACAACAAGAAGAGGCTGCCAACGCAAAGCGACAGCCTGCGGAGCGATTTGAAGTTGGTGACAAGGTGTGGCTCTCGATGGCAAACTACAGATCGCCACGACCGTGCAAGAAGCTCGACTGGCTGCATCACAAGTACACAGTCACGAAGGTAATTAGTTCGCACGTTGTTGAGCTCGATGTTCGTGGCTCAATTTACCCGCGATTTCATGTTGACCTTTGCGGCGGGCGCATCAAGATCCGGCTCCTGGCCAAAGGTAGATGACGCACAGCCACCACCGGTACAAGATGAGTCCGGCACGGATCTGTGGGATGTCGACGAGATCCTCTGCGCGAGATGGAAGAAGCGCGGACGAGGGGAATTCAGGCAAGCACTAGTGCGATGGACGGGCTACGCAGAGCCGACTTGGGAGCCAGTTGAGTGGTTGCAAGGAACAATTGCGATGAAGGCATTCGAGGACAAGTACGGGCCAATCAAGACCAATGATGGCCCTAGGAGAGGTACGAGACGCTGGCAGGAACGCAAGAACCCCGCAGACGCCGACCTGGTCGGAGGGACAAGGGGTAATGTCACGGGCTGTGCCCGGCTGGTGGACCCGGTTGTACCGGGTCCGGTGGGTCGTGCTCCGGTGGCAACACCGGCCGCTCCGCGGACCCAGAAGCTGCGAGAACATTCCGAGAAGGGCAATATAAGCTCGCACTCGAGGCTACGCCTCGAGTTCAGCTTCTTTTCCTCCTTAGCTCTAGATAGACAACACCTAGGCACCTGCTTGTTGAATAAACTCCGGGCCAGCCTTTCACAGTTATATGCGGTAAGTATTTATCGTGGATTTCGAGAGAGCAGAGCTCCACGAACGTCCCATTCTCGAGCTTGTTTGTCCGAACTGTCGATTTCGGAAGAGAAAGCAGATTGCGACAAAGCAAGTATATAACGCTTTTGCCCAGGAGATAGACATAGCAAAGCTGCGAATTTCACGATGTGCCGCAAAACAGAAATACTCCGTATATATGGCTGTTGGGCAACAACCGTCAATTAGGTAAGGGATGCTTGTGTAAGCAGGGCCCAAGGAGCCATATCAACGCAAGGATAACCCATCCCTATGCATTGAGGCCAAGGGAAGTTGCAATTTGGTACGTATCAAACATCAAGGCCATCAGGTTAGGGCTATATTAGCAGCTATATCAGGGGTTAGAAGAGGTATCTATACGTATAAATACCCCCTTGGTCTCACGTAGCTAGAAGAGGGCATGCACATTTTTTCACATCAATTCATTGCCCCAAATCACCTCCACATATGCTCTCAAACACCTATTCGAGAATAGCGTATTAGGTCAGTTATAGAGTATTCATTTAAGTGAATAATTCCGGCTCAAACCCTTACCTCTAGAGAAGAGGCTTTTTTAGATGTGTTCTTTATTGCTGTTAAGGATGCTGGGTGTTAGTTAGACCTACCGTGACTAGCGATAGTCCTCCCGCTACTCTGGACAGTCGCAAGAGATGCCGTCCGAGTGGTGGGAGTAAAAGGCTTGTCCTTTCTGACTATCTAGCCGTTAGTTCCGTCTTATATACGGATAAGTCTAACGGTGCTTATCTAGTATATAGGATAAGGGTGGCTCTGTCTGTCTCCACCTTGTGTCTGGTGGATCTGACCTTTATCCTATAACAATTGCCTTTTATTTCGGCTATGCTGAGACAGGCGTTTTAGGCGCAGCAGACACAGCAGGCTGCGTGCAAGGGATTAATAACCTCCTAAGGTCGTTTCTTGCAGCCGGATGCTATTAGTTCCCCAGCAGTTTCGAAAGACATTAGGGCCGTAAGACTAACTAATCTTAGCCTGGGTACGCTATTGTGCATACGAGGTAGATAATGACAGCCGGATATAGCAATCTCGACGTAAACTATTAGTAACTAGTAGTGTTTGGCATAATCTGTCCGTATACTAGCTAGCCTTCCCTTCTTAATGTTCTTCTTTAGGCCTTATTTTACGTGCAGCTTCAGCGGATGAGTTAAGCATCTGACGATTTGGATTATCGGCAATCTTTTGTGAAGGAAGTTGATAATTAGGGTTGCTTGGCCCCCCCGCTCGCCTACTGCTTTGAGCAGATCGTCCAGAGGACTCAGCTCTTCTCCTCAATTCGTCTTGATCCTCAATGGCTTTTCCCCTAAGAAACCATTCGTTAGATAAAAAGCGCTATCTAAAAGAGAGAGCAAAAGTTATTACCATTCGGCGTGCGAGAAGTAGGCGGGGAGGTCAAGTCTGTGCTCCCGCAGCGTATATATGATAATACCTGTCCCCGCGACTTCCGATTTATTGTAATAGGTCGTAATATGAAAGTCATTGACTTGCTACAATTTTTTAGGTTCTTCAGCCATCGTTGCGTGTTTCGATGAGTAGTAGTTAAATGGTCTAGACTCTCGCAGTTTCCCCCGACCCCCGCATCCCTTTGCGGGGGAGGAGCAATACGCACTCGTACTCCGTAATTCTCACTAAGGTACGTACCTCATGCAGGTACGGAACGGCTTATTAACTTTAATCCGCTTAGTGGCTATATTAGCCCCTTAATTTCGACGAGATGGCCAGGCTGGCTCGAATGCGCTTAATCCTATAGTCTACCAAGTAGGCTGCTTTATCCTTATTTGTCCCTCCTTAGTCTTCCCTGATAAATGCTTAGTCCGACTTCAAGCAAGCGTTACGATGGACGATACACCCAGGCTCCCGCTTCTAGGCGGTGAGACGATTGGATTGCGCTCCGCCGAAACGTGTCCTGATAATATCCTAGTTGAACTAGAATATCCACGCCTCGATAACGAATTTCGCCAAGAGATCATAGGGAAGAAGAACGACATTGAGGCCATGGTATGCCATCTTCTAGGCATCCGAGCCGCTTACATGTGGGGAGAGGGACAGTGGCAGTCCGGCAGTTTTAACCTGGCTATACCGATCGAAGTAGGGCACGGTAAGAGAGTGTTTCTCCGCTTGCCACTTCCCTATAGGAACGCAAATCTGCACTCTGCGGACGAGAAGCTCCGTACAGAGATTGCTACGTATATATGGATGGAGGACCATTGCCCAGAAGTTCCGATCCCTACTTTGCACGCATTTGGGCTACCTAATAGACAATGCGTATGTGCCCTAGAGAAATACCATTCCTAGTCGAGACTAATTCTTGCAGTATACGCACCTAAGCAATACCCCTTTATTAGTAAGGGTTAGTTGGGATCTTAGGAGATGGCTGCGCGGTCTCTTTGGTTGGACTGTTCCAACTCGTCACATCAAGCGGAACTATCAACATGCCTTGAGCACAGGCTACCTTCTTCTAAGTGAGGCAAAGGGGAAATGTCTGGCTAAGTACTTAGAGCACCGCTGGCATGACGAGCGATATATGCACAACCTGTGTCGCAGCATGGCTAGGATAAGCCTGTCCATGAACAAGATCCGTCTGCCTCGGATCGGGTCGTGGCATTTCAACCCCGACGGCACCATCACACTATCAAACCGGCCTCTGCATCTTCACATTTCTCTTCTCGAGAGCCAAGGGGTCCCATCAGGCATACCACAAGGTCAGACATATGCCGCCGTCGAGTCGTACCTGTCCGATATCCTTGCATTTCACGACAATATAATCAAGCATCAGCCGAACGCAGTTTTAGATCAGCAGGACGGCCGAACGCAGCTGGCAACCTTAACTGGACTGCGAGCTGTTATGCATCATTTCATCACCCCAAGCCACCAAGATAACCCCTTTTATCTATGTTTGACCGATCTTCGCCCGGCAAACATTTTTGTTGACGAGGCCGGTAATATCACGACAATTATCGATCTCGAATTCTCCTGTGCAAGACCAGTCAGCATGCAGCTGCCGCCGTATTGGCTGACCTCGACCTCGCTTGATGTATTGGCAGAAGCTAGTACTTTAGAGCACGATGCTATTATTCGGAAGTATCTAGACATCTACGAGGCCGAAGAGAAGAAGTGCAATGGCGATACTCCTTGGGCAAAGTTGCAACGACATGCTTGGGACTCAGGCGCTTTCTGGTACAACCATGCGGTCATGGCTCCTAACCACGCGCCCCGGATATTCCAGCATCGCATTCACTCACTATTCAATTATGGGGTTGAGAGTTCTGTTTTTAAACATGTCTTCTCTTGCTACTGGTCAGTCGATGCAGAGCAAGTAATCCAGAGAAGAGTAGAGGAGTCACGCCGTTATACGTCTCAGATTCAACAAGTCTTCAGTTATACGGATAAAGAGCATGAATGAATCATGCTAGAATAAAGATAGCTCGAGCAGGCAGGAAGAGTGATGTAGGAATAAAGAGGAAATGCCTAAAGGCTAGCGATTAATTCCCTACTAACAGAATGATGGTGATAACAAAAGGATAGCAAGCACTGGCTTGGGCGGGCCGTAATCTGGCACGACTAGAATTGACTAAAGAGACTCTGAGTGCTGGAGATCATACAAAGGCGGAATAACAAGCAGGGAGCGGGGAATGACAATAAGCACATTCGTAAGGTACATTAAACTAGCAAATCGAATATTTACAGCGTAGGACATAGCGAGCTAGTACATCATCACGTCTTCTCAGCTAACTTTTCGAAACCAAGCCTAAAACACGAAAAAAGCATACGCCTAGAACCGCCGCGAATGGCGTATTACGCCCCCCTAAGTGCAGCCTCGTGCAGCTACTAGCGGGTCTGCAATATGCTGCCAAAGATTGCGAATTAGGCGAGGTTCTCCCCTATACGGGTAGAAAACTCTTCCCCGCCCTCGCTGACTAAGGGTATATGCCCCCCGCTAACGGGACCTAGCCCGGACCCGACTTAGGACCCCGCCCTAGACCTAAGGAGGGCCCTTTTAACTTTAACCCCCCCCCCCCTTAGCCTAAGGGTCGAAATAAGCACCCTAGAGGCTAGGGCCCGCTTAAAAGAAGCTCTAGAAGGCTAACGCCTTCTAAGGACCTTAGAAGAAAGGCCTAGGACCTAAG